GAAAGGAACAAGGCCACACGTTACTTCTCCCTTCTGACAAACCAAAAACATGCAAGTTCGAATCCCTCCTGATATCCTCTTCAAGCTGAGGAACACTTCTAGTATGAAGAGAGGATGCTTACCTTTATAGCTTCTTCATATGCAAATGGAGGGGCCTGCGACTACTGCTTTAAACCTGGTGTGGGAGAAAACTGGTTCAACTGCCTTGATTTGCTAAAGCAACCTACACTCAAACTCTGCTGACGCATCGTTGTTATTAGCACTAAATACTACACATGATCCCAGGAAAGCTATTTCGCAAACCATACCTCCGTAGGTCTTTCTGTTCTTCCCACTGTTTCTGCTTCAATAGCTTCTTCCTTTGCCTCTTGGACATGGGCTCAAGGCATTCTTCCTTGTCGGAGCCTGCCTCCCGTCTCTCTACTGGGTTGTCACTGGACTGCACCTTTCCTTCAACATCAGGAATTTCAGGGGACATGGTATTTTCCGTTGGCACCGCTGGACTTTCTGTTGGTGTTTCTGACGACATTAGCTTTTGGCCGAGTTTATTGACTTGTTTCTCAACATGTGATTAATAGTTCATTAAAAGCAAGCTTTTCCCTCACCAGTTCTGTAAGAAACAAAACAATAGTATGAGTATTATTAACAAGAAGTTCAATTAGCACAAATATCACTCTACACCTACCATAAACCTGAACAAAGAAACAATAAGTAAGAGATGGTCTTTTCCTGGTTAAAGCTAGGTTAGTGCCTCTGCAAACAGTAACATGTAAAATACTAAAGAGATTATACCCTGTATTCAGATCATGTCTAAAATGCTGCCTGCTACATCTGCAGCTATTCAACAGTTTCCAGTTAACAACTTTGTGAAAACACAACTGCATAAAAGTAGGGAATCACACTGGATTAAATGTAAAAGAAAAAGCATTAGCAGTACTATTTACACGTACACAAACTATTCTCAAATACACAAACAGAAAAAATTAAAGAGGTATCTTGTGATATAACTATGGCAGCATGTTAGAGAAACATAATTTTAAAGAGCCTAAAGCCATTCTGGGGGCAAAAAAAAGGCGTGAACAAGATGTACCCCTTCAAAATTAATTTTTATTTCTTCTGAGAACCAGAGACACTGGCCAACCACTGACACTGGCCACTGTCAGTGGACAAAACACAGCAAGTAAGGGGACAAACAGACTAAATTGTTACTCAGCAAAATGTTCTGCGTTCAAATAAATTACAATTATACCCTCTCCTTTTCAATGGCAAGTATTATTTTTTCATACTAGTAGCTCCCCTGTGCTCAAAAGCCGCATAGTTTTCCAAAGATAACTACTTCACCGGAGGACACTGCATCTACAGAGCGAACATGCAGAAAAAAAGCAATCCCCGGGCTTCTGAGTCAGAAAACATGCGAAACACCAGAAAACCAGAGGTGTTTCAGCTAACGCACCCCGATTTCCCTGCCTGGGGGCGTTAAGACACAAGGCCCAGGGAGCCGAGATGCTCGCCTGGCACAGGTGCGCCTGCAGCCACCACAGGCACCCAGTTCTATACATACATCTATGCGTCTATATATAGACACGTATACATATACACACGTACAGCTATATATACACACGCATCTATGTATACGCACATTATATATATAGAAACACACGCGTTATTTCTGCTCACGCGCCGAAGTACCTCATAGCTCAACAGGACCGGCCACCCCCGCCCACCAGCGCCCGGCGGGAGGCCGTGAGACACACACACAACCCCGCCCCCCCCGGCGGGCCCCACAACGCGGGTGGCG